GGAGGGCGGAGGAATGCAAGAGACAGCAGCGCTGAGACTGGCTGTCTCCACAGCCTGGACTTCTCTGGCCAAAGGAATCATATAATCCTCTTGTTCTTGGTCTGCATGTCCTGGTCCTCACCATGCCTCATGCTGGTCGGGGGTTCAGTGGACATCAGCGGGGTGCACGCTCCTTTTCCACCTCAATGGTCAATGCTAATTTGATCCCTCGTGGCATCGAATTAGAAAAGGCATAATCCTGGTGTTGAAGTGCTTGCAGGAGCCAGGTGATACCCTCACAGAAATCAGCACTCTTGCAAAAGTAAGGGTAACTTGATAAATCCCTACTTCAGTAGATAAATGTTTCCTCCAACATTGCATAGTGTTTTTCTGCATTACCTCTGGCCGAGCCCCACTAGGTATTGCACTGCTGTGCTGTTGAACGAATTTGTACCACTTGTATCCCACCGTATCTATCCAAGCGGAGCTCTGAGACCTTCCCTGGGAAGGCGATGTTATACCAGGCTGTGCTGACATACGCGTGATACCCAACACCAAAGTCCTAAGCAGCAATGCTGGGGTAGGCTGACCTGTCCCCGGAGCTGCAGCCAGCACTGTGTGTCTCACAATCGATCTCTTTGCACCCTGTCCTTAGCTCCACAGGTGATTCGTAAGATCAGGGCAGAACAATTTTCCGATGCGTCAGGAAACCTGAAACTTTGGTGCCAGTTCTTCAATATTTTGAGTGATTCTAAGCTGATGTGGTACAAGGACGAGATCCCTGTAGCAGAAGCCCAAAGGAGGTAACCTGCCAGCTCCGCTTCGTTGTAGTCCTTGTGCATAGCCCTGGGTTTGTGTGTTAAATCCAGCTCCTTGCCTTTACTGGGGTGAAGGTGCCCCTTCTGTTAAGGCTGCATGGGAAGCTCGTTGCATGGCACAGTATGTTGTGAACTTTATCTTCCTGGTGCCCAGGGAGGGAGGGATCGCCCAGGTGGGGAATTGCTGCCAAATTTGTCCTATTGGAGCTCCATCTGGAGCCTGGCTTAAGGGCTGATGCTTTGAGCAGCAGAGCCCTGGGGAGAGCAGGGGCTGAACCTGAGGCTCGGGGAGGGCAGAAAAGGTGCTGTGCCCATCTCAGAGTTTGAAAGCTGAGTGTGAGCTGCAAAACTGGGACCCCAAGTGATACATGCAAGGGTGGCAGCTGTACTGGGAGGGTCTGCACACTGCACCCAAGCAGGTACTTCCATGCAACCACGGCAAGCACCAACAGGGAAAAAGCAGCTCTGGCTGTGCCCTCTCTATCCCTCGGCACTGCCCTTGCACAGGGAGAGCATGTTCGGACAGCTGGGTGGCTTGTTGTATCCTGGATGCTCTTTTGGGTGCATTATGGAGAGCAACTTTTTCTCAAGCCCAAGGGAGCTTGTGTGGGAACATCATCCACATTGGAGAGGATTTGCCTGATGCCTTTGAGCATCCCTTGAGCTCCCTTTATAATGAGCAGGCAGAAAGATGTGCTTCTGGGGCAGAAACAATCTCCTACGGCAGATATTTGAGCTGGGGCAGATGACCCAGGAGTGGCCGTTGCCTTCTAGCTGAGCAGAGCAGAGCCTGCTCAGCCAGCAGGTCTCAGGATGAGGGTCCCACCTCTTCCCTCTGCAGCCCATCATCCCCTTGCTGGTTCACACTGGCCATGCAAGGCAGAAACAGGCCTTTGGTTCTTGCGGAGACCTGTCTGCCCAGTGTGTCGCCACTTTGGCTAGAACTGCCAGCCCAAAGCTTGGTGCTGCAGGCTGGAGAAGACCAGCAGCCTGCTGATACAGAGGTCATGCTTTGCCGGTCCCTCGGAGAGGGGCAGGCTGTAGGATGGGGAGTGGTGTCTGCCCTCACTCATGAACAGCTGAAAATGAAGCTGGACACATCTGTGGCTGTTTGGCTTCCAGCCATCCCATCCAGATGCAGATCTGTTAGCCCAAGCACAGCCCTGACCCAGCCACACTCAGAGGCAAGTACCTTTACCAGTCTGTAGCCCAAACCCGGCCAGATTTTGCAGGGCTTGCCTGGAAGACGAGTATCTCTGTGAGTACAAATTGCAGGGCCAGACGCCTGGTGCCATGAGGTGCCAGGGGAACAGCTGGGATAGCTTCCTTTGTAGCCCTCTTCCAGCCCTCCAAGGGCAGCATGGTGCCCACCCACAGTGCCTGTGACAGGGCTCATGTGTGCCCCCACACATCACACGGGGCTGAGGCCATGCTCCGGTTTCTTCCAGCGCTGGTGACGAGGGCCAGGCAGCCTTGGCTGTAGTGCAGGCATCCCAGAAGGACTGCGGGGTCTACCGGTGCGTGATCAGCAATGAGTATGGCACTGACTCCACTGATTTCCTGCTCAGCCCAGAAGGTGAGGAGCCCTCAGCAGCCTGGCAGCTCTCCCAGCTGTCCAGGTGTGCCGTGGGGCGGCGTGGTGGACTGCGGAGAGGGCTTCGTGCCAGGCTGTGGAGGGGGAGCCTTGCACGCCCCATAACACCACTTCTGTGAGGTGCATCTGCCTCCATGTGCTAATTCATGAGCGATTCACACCATCCTCCTTGCCATCCCTTGGTGTGAAAGTGCATGGGGCAGGGTGGGATCCTGGCAGGACCTTGACACCTCTTTGCTTTCTGTCTCCTCTAGTGCTGTCAGGATTTATCTTGCGGGAAGAGATCGAAGGTAAGGGCCACATGCTGACAAGCTGCAACTGCTGCCCCTTGCTGCACAGGGGGCAGGCAGCTCTGTGGCAGGGGCAGGACGTGCCCGCGTTGTCCCCCCTCACCAGCTCTTCCCTCTGCCAGTTGGAGAGGAGATCGAGATGACGCCCATGGTGTTCGCGAAGGGTTTGGCTGACGCAGGCTACTGGGGGGATAAGCTCTTCGGGCGTGTGGTGAGCGAGGACGTGGAAGTGGGTGCCGGTTTCCTGCGCAAAGCCTGCCGTGCCAGAGCCATCTATGGCCTGGAGCCCGTCTTTGAGTCTGGCCACACCTGCGTCATCAAAGTGCACAATTTCATTGTCTTTGGGACCAAGAATGAGAACAGCCTCATCGAGAAGAACTACGATATCACCATCCAGGTGGGCATCCTTGTGGGGCACCCTCTGCCTGTCTCCCCCACGCCTTCCCTGTCTGTCTGCACCATGGTCCCCAGCTCTGTGCCCACTTTATTTCCTTCCACTTTTTGAATGCTCTGGAGGGGTCGAGCCATGTTCCAGCGGGCTGGCGATGTCCTTGTTATTCTTGGCTTCAGCTCTTCTCTCTGAGCAACACAGAGCTGCTCAGAGCTTTTCTGTCACTTGTCCTTTCACTACCAGGGCAGGGAAACAACTGGCAGTGGTCCCAGGGGATGCCTGGCCAGGCCGGGGGTTCCAGGGAGGCATTGGTGCAAGACGGGACAGGTCCCTGACTCTTCTGTTTGCATCTCCAGGAATGTAAAATCCAGAACTCCAGCCGCGAGTACTGCAAGATCTTTGCTGCTGAGGCACGAGCCATCCCTGATTTTGGAGCGGTGCCTGAGTAAGTAAGGTGCTGCGGCTCCCCTGACCTGACACCCTGGCAGAGAATCCCGGGGGACGGTGGGAGGGTTCCCTGTGGGTGCTAGGGACATCCCAAAGGGCAGCGTGCTCTTCTCCCACCCTCAAACGGAAGGGATATTGGGCGGCGGGGGGGAGGCAAAACCCAGGGTTGCAGACCGCAGTGTGAATCTCCACTTGCTGTGGTGGGAGAGCTTGCCAGCTGGTTCTGACCCAGTCTGTGTGCTCCCATGCAGGATAATTCCCCTGTACCTGATTTACCGACCAGCCAACAACATCCCTTACGCCACGATGGAGGAGGACCTGGGTGGGTTCTGCGAGCAGTACTGTGTCACTGAGAGAGATGGCAGCTTGGTGGCACGAGGCACCTCGGAGATCGTGCTCAAATGCTGCACCTTCCAGCACTGGGTCTACCAGTGGACAAATGGAAACATCCTCGTGACAGACATGGAAGGTAAAGGGATTTCCCATCTGACTCCTGTGGCCCCTCACCACCCTCTGGCCTGTGAAAGGAGGAGGAAAAGCCCAGCCTTGCCCTCCTGCCTCTTTCCCCACGTGCCATGGAGCCCAGCTCGCAGGGCAATGACCTGCCCTCGGTGCCAGTGCCCGTCCTTCTCTGGGCAGAGACTGGTTGTCCTCCCTTTCATTGCAGGAGTGGGCTGGAAGATGACCAACGTGAGGATCGCTACCAACCTGAAAGGGTGAGTGACCCTGAGCTGCTGGCGCGGGGTAGCCCCGGCTGTCCCCAGCTCCGCCGCTCATGTGGCGAAGGGCCACGGTGGTGAGCATGGCCGGGCTCCGTACTTGGCTCCCTGCAACGGCAGGACATCTCCTGGTGCGAAGCAGGGGCTGAGGATGGCTGTGTTGGCAGGTACCAGGGGCTGAAGGAAAGCTGCTTCCCCTCCCTGCTGGAGCAATTTGTGGCCGCTCACCAGTGTAACCGTTACTGCAGCATCCTGGGCCTGAAGACACTGGAGCCAGCGAAGCCCAAGGGCTCCAAGAGCCCCTCCATGGGTAGGAAATCTGCCCAGTCCAGCCCCCAGTTCCAGAAGAAGGGGCTGGCAAGTCCCCAGGGTACCCGCAAGGCTGCTGTGAGCCCCAAGAGCTCCCGGAGAGCTGCAGAAACAGGGGAGGCCCCAGCAGCCTCGAAACCCGGCTCAGGAGAGAGAAGCAGGTCTGGCTGCCCGCAGTAGCTGGAGCCGCTGCAGCTGGGAACCCTGCTCCGGACCCCAGCCCAAGCAGCCTGGAGGCAGCAGGAGACCAGGCTGGGAAGGGGAGACCCCGGCAGCGGCTGCTGCCGCC